GAGCTGTAAGCCGAGCTCATTACATTACAGATTTATAGATCTGCTCTCTGTTTTCCTGGTACCTCAATCTGCATTGCAAACGCATTTCCTGACCTGTAACCGCGTTGGGAATCAATTTGGTTGATATTCTGATTAAAAATCTTCACTCACTCACTCTCACCTAACCTCACTTTATGGCAAATCTATTTTTAAGACTTAAACTTTACCTCGTAGTTTTTTTTTCTCCCTTCTCTTTCCTGTGGCACTGACAACGTGGCATCAAACACTCCTTTATTCCTTCCACTCCCCCTCAGCTTTTCAGAGTGAAAACATCAGGTTAAAATCCACCTGAAATGTGGGATTACGGGGACTCTCTCTGAGAGAGAGAGAGAGAGAGAGAGTGAAGTTTCTAAAAGTAACCACACGGGTAAATAAAGCTAAAAGAAAAATAAAGCCAATGAGGTCTGGGGTTTTATATCCCGGTGGATATGAGGAGGAGGTGATGTTAAATGTATACGAAATATGACCAAATCCACAAAATATACAGTCAATTCACTTTACATTACATCCTGTGAAGCGCTCCGAGACGTCTCGAAGACCTGATAAAACACTACATCAAATGAAAGGGTTATTATTAGTATTATTATTATTATTATTACCATAAGGGAGTATTTGGTCAGTTTTCTGATCTCCGCACTAAACAGCAACGATGGGAAGAGCACAGTCGAGGTTCACGAGAACGATACCAAGGCTGAGGGTCACTGCTGTCGGGACAGACTGGTGGGTCACAGGGCCTTTTATTGATAGAGAAGAGAGGTTGAAGGCGGTGGGGGTGGGGGTGACCTAACAGGAATCTTTAAAATTATAAAAGAGTTCGATGAGGTTCACCGTAAATGGGCGGTTTTTACTGGTCAGAGAGTCGGAAACTTACATCAGAATTGCTGTTGTGTGGATTAAAAGGGATCTAAGGTTTCTGTGCTGTACATTCTTTGTAAATCTTTGGGTATGTGTGTGAGTGTATATATAGTGTATATACTGTATATATACTATACTTACTCACACAGTATAGATACACAAACACATATGCACATATACATACACATACAGTATATGTCACTACACAGATGAGTAGATTGGGACATCTTAGCCTTAAGATTTAGTGGTACTTTGCAGCAATTCAGTGTTTAGGTGACATTTAGCGTATGGCTCTGTACAGACACCACACGTGTGGTTACAAGTATTAGGAGTTCATTCGTTTCTCATACATACACGTACGTTGTATTTTTAAAAAACGAAACCGATGCGATGCGATGCGAATTTCTGTGCGAAGCGAATGTCAACGGATTCACCCGATCGGCCACGAAATAACTGCACAGCTTCTGTGTTGAACGAAGCCGCATCAGTCACTCGGACAAACCGGACACATCGAGCTGTACTAATGCGATTGGATCACTTTCACAAAGATGTTAACTCACTTTGTCTTCATGTCTGCAAAAGGAGGAAACTGACAAACTCTCACCGCAAAGAAAGTGTATGTACGCTTCACCCAAAATATACAGTCAATTCACCTTACAATATACTCTGTGAAGCCCTTTGAGATGTGTTGAAGACGCAATAGGGCCCTTTATCAAATTGCAAGCTTTTTAGTATTCTTATTCTTATTATTCTGATGTACCGCACGTTGCAAAAATAAAAAAATAATACTTTAGGTGCACTATGAAAGGATATCTTTTTCCCCCCTAAAAAAGTTGTAAACTTTTAGTCCCTTCAAATGGATCCAGATTGAATGAAAGGGATAAGCAGAATATTGTAATGGCTACAGCAGAAATGTTTCTGAACAAAATAGAATGACCCGATTGATATTTAAACCGCAATTATTACAGTAATCCTTACACGCGTTGTGGCGCCTTAACGCGTCGTTGGGAGAGAGAGAGAGAGAGAGAGAGACGCCTCAAAGCGCTTCACAGAATAGACTGCGAAGTGAAGTGAGGTGTGTGTCTGGGGGTGAAACTCCCAGAAAACACAGTCAATCCACTTTACATCGCGGGGCGGTGGGGTGGGGGGGGGGGGGGGGGGGGGGAACAAGGGCGAAAAATCCACAACAAGTCAATCATTTCGCTTCTGAATTGAATGGGAAAAAAGGGCGGGAGGTGGGTGGGGGGGTTAACATTTGGTGGGGGGATGGTGGGGGGGGGGGGGTTGACCCCTTCACCAGGCTGATAGCTCAATGAGGGAAATAGAAATGACCACAGAATTAGCCGCAGACCCCCCCCCGGGCTGGTGGGAGCTGAGGCCTTTGCTGATTTCCCTCGAGCAAACTCTGCTTTGGTGCAGTCACAGTGAGAGGGGAATCGGCTGATGAATGGACCCAATGTAATCAGCTTTATTGGGAAACAGGTTACCGAGAGGCGGGTGTCAATAACTCTGATCCTGACCCGCTCATCCATTAAATGGTGCTGCCTGATATCAGGCTGATGAGGAGCCCCCCCCCCCCCCTCCATCTCCCCCCCCCCCCCCCGCCCCAACATCATTGCACTCTGTAAAGAAATTGCTTTCGTAAATGTACCATTAACACCAGGTTCGGGCAGCAGCCAGAACCCTGCAGCCGAGCAGAAGGGATGTCCTTTATCACCGGCTCTCTCTCTCTCTCTCTCTATATATATATATATTATGTATAACATAGTCTTTCATTTCCTATCAAAGTGTTAGCTTTACAGCTGCGCACCACACACACACACTTACCCCGTCCTCAACTGAGAGAGACAGAGAGAGGGACCGGCGGACGCTCTATCGCAAAGTTCCTCGAATTAATTTATTGTATTTATTAAGGGTCGCGGGTTCCCCCCTCCCTCACCCCCCCCCCCCCCCCCTCGCGGGTAACGACCCAGAGATCTCCCCAAAACACACCAGATATGATGGGAATGAAATACCCGATATAAGCCAAACCTGATTGGAATCCACGTGCAACAGCATTAAACTGTGCATTTGCTTTTGCGATTGCACTGACGTCCAAAACAGTGCCATAACCCCCGGCTCTCGGCGGTGTGGTTTAGATGGAAATATTTAAAGTGCAATAATATTAATCCTCGCATTTGATACAGCGCCTCACCCCGTCTCCGAGACGTCTCAAGGCGCTTCACACGCATTGACTGTATATTTCGGTGGGAGAGATATATGTCGCTTCCAGATATTGTCCACCGTATATTTATTTTCAAACGCCTGTTTCGGGGAATATTTAACCGGTTGTCTCAGCGTTACCGGTGTCCAAAACCAATGACCAGTTTATGATAATAGTAATAATAACAGGAATGATCATTGCATTTGATATAGCGCCTTACAACGTCATTGAGGCTCTATGTCGAATGCAAGGATTAGTATTGTTATTATTATTGAGTTAGGAAGCGAAAATCTCACAAAATTAACATCTTTACATTCCCTACAATTTACTCCAAATGTTCGAGGCTCAGCTTTGGTCGAATTTGTTTAAATTGTCTGAATCCCCGCGTCCCCAAACCCCCCAAAAATAATATATATATATATATATATATACCCAGAGAACCGTAATTGGTGGTAAAGTTCCAATAAAATGGGGAAAGTCACCGAAGAGCGCATTGAACAGTTAGTCAGACATAACACACACAGTAGTTGTTTACTCACGTTTTCACACTTGTTGTGATCTGGAGGATGGATAACATGACATTGGCTCAACACAGCTGCACACCTTTATTTGTTGTTATCCCTCTCTCCCGATCGCTGACATCAAACGAGTTATGAGTGAACGAAAGCTGCGAAATCACATCTCAATGAGAACACGCGATTTTTTCCCGCCCCCCCCCCCAAAAAAAAACCCAAACTAGTTCTTATTCATTAACTTAAACCGTATTGATCCGTGTAAACGCATTTTTAATTACCCTCTCTCCCGAATTCAAACAAATGAGCTTAAAATCTTCGCCTCTGTGACCCGCCGATCCGCAACTAAAGGGGTGGGTTTGTGGCTTTGAGACGTCTTAGTTTTCACTCACACCGGGACGGCGGAGTGGGGTTTGGGGTTGAAACGGGGCCACGAAACCCTGAACGTCCCAATTACAAAGACCTTTTCACCCCGAATCTCAGGGAGAGAGAGAGAGAGAAAAGAACAACAACATCAACAGCTCTGATTGATCAACATCAACACCTCTGAATTAGTTTAATGAAACAGATTATCTCTTCGAATAACTAAACAGTGATTTCTTCTCAACTGGGAGGGCGGGGGTTGGGGGGGGGGGCAGGGGGTGAGGGGGGGTGGGGGTGCGGTGGGTGGGGGGCGACCGATTGACCCGAGGGGAAGGGAAAGGGGGAGGTGGGAAAGTGTCCAATAGAAGAGTCGAGGATGAGTCTCAGACCAATCCGCTCTGAAGCTCAGCAGCTCAATCAGGACCAAAGGTCCAATCAGGAGCACCCGGTCTCCATATCAGCCAATCAGGAGTGTCGTTGTCTCCATTCTGACCCCGTGACCCCTCCCCCTTTACACGGTGTATCACAATCCTGGCCAATAGGAGGGCGGCTGAGATGGACAAGTGGCGCGCTTTCTCCTCCCGACCAAACCAGACTCAGCATTGGACCTCAGCGCTCCAACACCGCTCCCCGCAGCAAAGCCACCACCACCACCATCATCTTCATCATCTTCTTCACCCATCCACTGGACCCATCCTGAAGTCTTCGAGTGTGACATTTACCAACTTGGCTCCAGGTGGAGCCGAACAGCCGCGACAGTAACTCCAGTCCCAAGAGATCTCCTCTCGGCTCGTCTCTCTGGCGGAAAGTGGGGTTGGGGTGGGGGGGGGGGACCGGGGGTTGGGGGGGGGATTAGATTGGGCATTTGGTTCCAGATACTTTCTTTTGACTCGTAGATTTTATTTTTCGTAGAAACAAATCTTCCTCTCCCTCCTCCTCTCTCTCCCTCTCCCTCCTCTTCTCTCTCTCCCCCCCCCCACCCCGCTCCCACCCCCCACCTCTCTCCCTGTACCCCCATAACTGACCCGGGACTCTGAGCCGATGGAAAAATCCAAAAATTTCCGTATTGACGCCCTCCTCGCCGTCGATCCTCCCAAACCTCCGACTCGCTCGCCTCCGGTCCCCCCCCCCTCGCCCTGCTCCGGGAGCCCTCCAGTCGCCAACAACCCCGACTGCCTCCGGACCGAGAGCCCGTCTCCCCCGAGGTTCGCTCTGGGCAACTTGGTGCCCAAACCCGGCTTCCTGAGCCTGCACCACCATCCCGGGATAGCCAGTCTCCATCCGCACGGAGCCATCCCCGCTTCGGCTCTCTATGGGCACCCGGTTTACACCTACTCGGCGGCGGCCTTGGGGGGTCAGTCTAACATGTTGCCCTATTCCTACCCTCACATCTCGGGGAACCATTGCTCCGAACCCCTCAAAGTCAACGCCGGGACTTTCCAGATCGACCAGTGGCTGCGCGCATCGACGGCTGGAATGATGTTACCGAAAATACCCGATTTTAATGGTGAGTGATGTCCCAAACGGAGAGGGGGGGAGGGGGGGAGGGGGGGAGGGGGGGGAGGGGGGGAGGGAGGGAATAATACCTTCACTCCATGTCTGTATCCTCAGTGCATTACCCAATTGCCGACGCCAGGAAAATAATAATAATAATAATAATAATAATAATACCTTAATAATCCGACGTCTCAAAGCGCTTCACAGCATCTGCTGCGGAGTGAAGTGACTGTGTGCGCGTTTCGTGGGGCCAAACGCGGCAGCAAAAAAGCGCACAGCGACGTCCCCACAAACAGTCGCGGATTGAGTGACCAACTTATTATTATTATTATTAAATATATATATATATATAATGCGTTTTGCATTACTGAACCCGTTTGTTCTGATCGTATAATCCACACTGTGGGGTGTGTGTGTGTGTGTGTGTGTGGGGGGGGGGGGGGGGGGGGGGGGTCGGGCTGAGGGGGTGGACAACATGTTTTAGAAAATTAAATGCCTATTTAACAAGATTTTTTTCCTAAACATGGCTCAATTGCAGGTTTCTGCTCAATTCTCCAACGCATATTTCTCGGTTGATGGCGTGAATCTATTGTGCAGTTTTGTTTATTTTTTATCAGGTTTTGGGGGGGGTTTGGAAATCAAGAAATATTCAACGGTCGCCCAACAAAATAATCGTAAGAAATAACAAAATACCATTGATTTATGACACCTTTCTACCATGGTTTGTGTTGGTTTGGTGCACAAAACCGTCGTAGGAAATGACAGAATTGCGTAGAATTATGCTCATAAATCACGAAATAAACGAAACAAAATAATCCGAGTTATAGCAAAACAAAATAAAATAAAAAACAAAATTGACGCCAAACATCAATACATATTCAGTCAAGAAACATTTACATTGTTTGCCACCACTGGTGTAACTATAATAATAATAATAATAATAATAATTCTGGCACTCGATACAGCGCCTTATCAAGTGTTTGAGACGTCTCAAAGCGCTTCACAGGACACACTGTAAAGTGAGTTGACTGTAAAACTCGTGGGCGAAACGTGAGACTAAAAATACTCTTTTAGGAGTTGTCCTTAGGGGTTATTTCAGCCCGAAAACTGTGTGTGTGTGTGTGGGGGGGGATTGGGGGGGGCGAGGGACTGGGGGTCGTGACCCATTGTGGACGAGGCCACTCGGGGGTGACTGGAAAACAACAACAACAACAACAACACGATCACACTTGTGCGGCCCCTTTCACGTCGGGAGGACGTCCCAAGGCGCTAAAAAGAAAAAACAGCCGTTGCAGCGACTTCTGCGCCTGAGTCGCGTTTAATTTTCAAAAAAAATAACACCAATCTAAAATAGCGATTTATTTTAAGCGGAAAAAAGCATATTTTTACAATTTTTTAAAAAAGAAATGTTGTTGATTTGTAGCCCCGAGTCCAGAGACGGGTATACAATAATAATAATAATAATAATAATCCTTTGCATTTGACACAGCACCTGATCACGTCTCCGAGGCGTCTCAAAGCGCTTCACAGGACACGCTGTAAAGTGAGTCGACTGTGTGTTTTGGGGCCAAACGCGGCTTTACGCGTAAAAAAAAACCCGTGAAAGGTTCAAACTTGTTTTTGTTAACAATAACACAACAATGCACACATTTCTGTGGTGATTGTGTCGGTGGTTCTCCACAAAATAATCAAAATACATTCGCGACGCGGCGGAGATTTATTTATTTATCTATTTGCGATGCGGATCGAGAGGTATTCCACCGTTTGTCGGAACAAAACAATCGTAGAAATACTAAAAAAAATAATATATCGAAATGTAGCTCTGAGGCTGTGTGTGAGTGTGGAAACCACCAGGAAAGGCGTAGAAAGAGAGTGGTGGGGGGGGGGGGGGGCAGTGTGTGTGTGGGAGTGGGGGGGGTTGTGGGCTGTGTGTGTGGGGGGGTTGTGAGCAGTGTGGGGGGGGGGTTGTGGGCAGTGTGTGGGGGAGGGTTGTGGGCAGTGTGGGGGGGGGTTGTGTGTGTGTGTGGGGGGGGGTTGTGGGCAATGTGTGTGGGGGGGGGGTTGTGGGCAGTGTGTGTGTGGGGGGGGGGGGTTGTGGGCAGTGTGTGGGGGGGGGGGTTGTGGGCAGTATGTGGGGGTGGGGTTGTGGGTGTGTGTGGGGGGGGGGGTTGTGGGCAGTGTGGGGGGGGGGGGGGTGTGGGGGGGGGGGGGGGCAGTGTGTGGGGGGGTTGTGGGCAGTGTGTAGGGGGTTGTGGGCAGTGTGTGGGGGGTTGTGGGCAGTGTGTGGGAGGGGGTTGTGGGCAGTGTGTAGGGGGGTGTTGTGGGCAGTGTGTAGGGTGTTGTGGGCAGTGTGTAGGGTGTTGTGGGCAGTGTGTGGGGTGTTGTGGGCAGTGTGTGAGTAGAGGGTGTTGTGGGCAGTGTGTAGGGTGTTGTGGGCAGTGTGTGGGGGGGGGTGTGGGCAGTGTGTGGGGGGGGGTGTGGGCAGTGGGGGTGGGGGGGGTTGTGGGCAGTGTGTGTGGGGGGGGGGGGTTGTGTGTGTGGGGGGGGGGGAGCAAAATAGCTGCTAAAAAGTGACATGTGAGTGTGAAGCTGTGAGCGCCGCCGGTGTTTGAGGAGCAGTGACTGGGGTTTGTGTGACAGACGGACAGTTCAGGGCAGTAAATAGCGCTGTGTTTTCTGGCGGTGAATGGCGGATTCTTGTGCAAAAATGTCAAAAACTCCCCCCAAAAAACAACCCGAGACGCCAATCAGAGGTCATGTTTCAATACACTTTTACCGCCGACTATTTGCATTTGCTGCATTACTGACACGGAATCTGTGTTGGTTTAATAAGGAATGTTTTTTTTTCTTTTTCTTCCTCTTTCTCTCTCTCTCGCTCCCTTTCTCTCTCTCTCTCTCTCTCTCTCTCTCTCTTTCTCTCTCCCTTTCTCTCTCTCTCTCTCTCTCTCGGCAGTTTTCCTTTTTTTCTCTGTCCCCACTTAAATCAAAAGCAGATTTAAAATAATACCCAAACTCTTATCACACAAAATAAAACCGCGCGTTAATAAAACTGTGTTAAGAATTGGCTCGTGACAACATTCACAAGTGAGTTAGTTGTTGTGAGACTGTCCCTTTATTATATAGACACACACATATATATATATATTATATATATATATTTGCTTATTTGTATGTTTCTGCAAATGAATGAGTCGAGCGTTGTTTTGTGAAAGGTGCAGTGAAATGGCCTGAACTTGGAAAGAATCCTCTGGCGTTCCGCTCTTTGATTTTTTTTTAAATGACCAGTAATATAATATAATTGTTACGAAGAAAGATTCCCCGTCGGGACGTGGCAAAGGCGAACCGAAACAAGGAGTCCTCGGCGGAGTGTGACAAATAAAGTCGCTGTGTCGAATAATAATAATTGGTGTTATTATCCGTCTGAAAGCGCTTCACAGCAATATGTTGTGAAGGGGATTGACTGTATCCGGTATTTATAATAATAATAATAATAATAATAATAGTATTTGGACATTTATTTCACGTGTAAATCTGCTGTGTAGAGAAATATATTGATACAGAAAGTCCACCAGCATTGCTCGAATAAACGCAGTCAAAATAAAGCCCCATTTGTCCACCTCTGTTCTGAGATCTCCATCGACTGCAATAGATCGAAAAGGAATACAATAATAATTATTACGATTGTTGTTATTATTATTTCACGTCGAGGGGACGCCCCAGAACACTGGACAGGATTTTAAGTGTGTGTGTGTGTGTGTGTGTGCGATGTGTGAGAGCTTCTGCTGAAACGCTGAGGTTTTTTTTGGGGGGGGGGTCGTCCTGTTGGTGTTTTGATGTTTTAATTAAAGGATTGTTTTTTAGGGTCTGGTTGGGAATTGGAGGGTTTGTGTGGGCGTTCTCACTAAGTGAAGGCCAATTAGCTTTCCCGAGGAACATTGAGCTAATGTCACCCTCATCCCATTGTAGATTTTAGTGTCGGGCACATGGCTGCCCTGTGGGAAATCAATAGTCCTTTTAGGGAAACCATAAGCCAGTAGTTTAATATACTGGGGAGAGTGATGCACTTTTAAATGGTGCTGAGGATTGTGGATGTTAATTGAATCCAACAGAGATCGTTAAACACCGGGGACCGGTGATTTGGGGGAATATTCTTTTACACAAACATACAATAGAATAGGCCTCTGGAATTATTTTCCGGTAAAAAAAAAACCCACCACCTTAAGCACATGGTCCAGTCGTTTGCACTCTCCACGTCTCAAACTATCTACTGGATCCTCAGGTATTCTTTCGAAATGTAATATAATAATATATAATCGTTTTGTAATGTAAGATTTATATTTATAACGTAATATGTATCTATTGTTTTCTAACAGAAATCTCGTGTTGTTGCAATAATCGACACTTTCTGGTTCCACCACCGTATCATATGTATTATTGTACGCCCATTCCAGGCAAAATAACAATTAAAAATAGGTGATTAGAAGCAGCTTTTTTTTTTACGTTTGTACAAAGAATTATATTTTCTATCTTAGATTTTAGACGTGATGTTTTTCACCGATTCCAATTCCAGGCAAAAATACCAATNAATAAAAGAGGCAGTTTTGCACATTGCAATGCACCGAAATTATCCCACTTTCCTTTTTTTTAAAATTAAAAAAGAATGTGCAATTTCGCCCAACATGATTTACACTTTCTAAGTGATTTATTAATATATTTTAATATATTCGGATTATAATGCGAACTTATTTAATTCCTTGTTGTTAATTCACTGGTATCTCCCATATTAGCGCCTGAGCTCTCAGTTTATACCCACAACAACAGTAATGGGTAAAAACGTGATGTGAAATGCAATCTTTTAAAGAACAAGTGACGGGTGAAATGTAATAATAATAATAATAATAATAATCCCGGCATTTGATACAGCGCCTCATCACGTCGTTGAGACGCCTCAAAGCGCTTCACATGATATACAGTACTGCAAAGGGGGGATTGACCGGATTCAGTATTTGGAAATTTATTTCATGACGAAAATACAATGTTGTGGGGAAATATATCGGTACAGAAAGTCCAAACAAACGGAATCCGAAATAAACCCCTAATGTCTACTTCTGTTCTGAGATCTCCGTCGATGGAAATAGATTGAAAAATACAATAATAATAATTATTATTATATTCACGTCGAGAGGAGTCTCAAAACACTTGACGGGATTTTACTGTAGAGTGTAGTGACTGTGTGTGTGTGTATTTTGCAGGTGACCTGCGAGCTTCTGGTGAAACACTGGGGTTTTTTTGGGGGGGCGGTGGGGGTTTGGGGGGCGGTGGGGGCGGTGGGGGGTTTGGGGGCGGTGGGGGTGGGGGGGGGGGCGGTGGGGGTTTGGGGGGCGGTGGGGGGGTGGGGGTTTGGGGGCGGTGGGGGTTTGGGGGCGGTTCTGTTGATGTTTTGATGTTTTAATAATTTGACGGATAATCGCTAAATCGTGTACTCGTGTTGTGAAATCTCCATCGATGGAAAATAACAATATTTAATCTCTGTTCACCCCCTCCCCCCCACCCCCACCCACCGTAACAAACTCCTGTTGCTGTTCCTCAGCACAAACACAGCCCAACATGTTGGGCAAATGTCGGAGGCCGAGGACAGCTTTCACCAGTCAACAGCTGCTCGAGTTGGAGCATCAGTTTAAGCTCAACAAGTACCTGTCCAGACCCAAGAGGTTTGAGGTGGCCACGTCCCTGATGCTGACAGAGACACAGGTAACCCCCCCCCCCCCCCCCACCAGCCCCAACCCCCCCACACCAACCCCCCCCCCCCCCACCACCACCCCCCCCCCCCCCCCCCACACCGGTTTATTCGCTGTTGAACCCCGATTAACGCCCATAACACGGCCACAACGCGGAATGACAACCCCACAGGTAACACCATGTTATCGATTGTGGCTTTTTTTTTGGGGCAATAATACGATTGTGTCACCGGTTACTTTTTGTCAACACAGAAACGAATGACACCGATCGCTCTTTATCAGTAGTTCGAACAGTGTCGTTAACACAAACAGTATCGGGTGATTCTTTTGGACTAATGGTACAATACAATCGTATCGATAATTATTTTTTTACTAATAACACTATTGTATCGATAACCCCCCCCACCCCCCCCCTCCCTCCATCTGTGTCCCTTTGCGAAAAGCGATTCATTCTAAAAACTCGGATCTTTCTCCTCTTTTTCTCTCTCTCTTTTTGAAAACCTTTTTAAAAGGTAAAAATATGGTTTCAAAACAGACGGATGAAGTGGAAACGGAGCAAAAAGGCCAAAGAACAGGCGGTGCAGGAGACCGAGAGACACAGAGGGAAGAACAGAGAGGAGAGGGACAAACCCGGGGATCGCCACCAGATTCCCGACACCGGGAAAACAGATCACAGCCATCGCTCCTGTGTGAGAGACATTGTGGAGAGCGGCGACGAGGAGGAGGAGGAGGAGGAGGAGAGAGACCATCTGATATGTCGGTCCTCAGACTGTTCTTCCGAAGACGAAGGCAGTCAAACACCACAGACTGCAGCCGCGACAACCAAATAGCTGATCCCCTCTGTCTCGGTCTCCCTCTCCCCCTCCCTCTCCCTCTCTCCCACTCTCTCTCTCCCCATCACTCTCTCCCTCTCTCACTCCCTCTCTCCCTCTCCCCTTCCCCCTCTCTCTCTCCCACTCCCTCCCTCTCCCTCTCCCTCTCCCCCTCCCCCTCTCTCCAATCCCCGAAACCTCCTATTTTCCGCCCCCGGAAGACAAGAAAGTCCTCGAACAGTTAAAAACAAACTGTTGTGGCGACAACGTGACTTGAAGAAGTGGGGCTTGAACCCGCAGATTGTTTCCCGTTTGTTTTTTTCCCTGACGGTATATATATATATATATATATATCTGTTATATATATCTATTATATATCTATATGTTGGGGGGTTGCACCCCCTGTGGCTGTCCAGTCTGTTCTGTTTGGTTCAGCTCCAGACGTTTGAGAGAAAGTGGCAGATTTGCAGGAATTTTGTGTTTATTTTTGTATTGTATTTATATGAAACTTCGCCTCTCGTTCTGCATGTTATAACTGTGTTAACTAAAGGACGTTCCTCTGTCCCCCCCCACCCCCAAACCACCCCACCAACCCCCCCCCCCACCCCCAAACCACCCCACCAACCCCCCCCCACACCCCCAAACCACCCCACCAACCCCACCCCCCCACCCCCCAAACCCCCACCAACCCCCCCCCCCCACACACACATAGTTGTTGTTGTAACGCGCACAATAAATGTTTTGTATGAACACCGTTTCAGAAGCATTTTGAACAGTGAATCGAGTTTGGATTCGTTTTATCGGACCAATTGGACGGCGCGGCTAAAGGAGGCACCTTATATATATATATATATAATATTATATATATAACATAATAAAATAAAGCTAAATAATTTCTGCAGGGCTCCAGTCAACAGCCAGTTGTATTACGAATTTAAATTCTTCCCGCATTTTCTTTCTCTTTTTGTTGGCATTTTTTCACGTCCGAAAAAACACCCCCACACCCCCCCCTCCCCACACCCCCACACCACCCCCTCCCCACACCCCCACATGGTTTCTGCAGTCTTCGTGACAAAAAAAAAGCAATTTAATAATCGTCGCATTTCCGCACAACCGGTTTATTAGCAAAACCGTGTCGCAGATTTCTGATCAACATCCTCTTAATTGCAAGGGATTAATTTGTGGCGTGTGTACAGGAGTAAATATATTCTCTCTCTCTCTCTCTCTCTCTCTATATATATATATATATATATAAATTATATGTTTGGAGAACATTGTCTCAGATGTCGGCGGCGACATTTGAGCCCCAAAAACAACAGCTTCTGATTTGCAATTGTAGAAATCTCAAACCTACTCTGATTCTCATTCAGCCTTAGTCTGTGCACATTACAGCAAAGCCAACTCTCTCACCCCCTCCCCACCCCCCCCCCCCCCAACAACCCCCCCCACAAAAACCATCTGCACTGTGTTCTGAGAAAGGACTGCTAATGGTTTTATCGGATCCGTGCAAATGTGCTGCAGAACAAACATTAGGATCGAGTCAAACTGCAGAAACATTTAACACCAGAGCTGAAATGGGTTTATTTTAATAAACCACTGCTATGGCCCTCATCAATCAGTGGTGAGTGAGTGAGAGAGAGAGAGAGAGGGGGATTGGGAGAGTGTGAGTGTGTGTGAGAACATGTTTCGAGCAGATGAATCATATTTATGTTGTGTTTATTCCCACCTCTGGTTACCTTCATCGATTTTTTTTTATTTCGAAACTCTCACCATATTTGCTGATAAAATTAGAAAGTTAAGAGGCGACGATTTTTTTTTCCCATTGATTTTTTTTTTCTGTGTCGTTGCCACTTAAAACCCAAATAGACTAACAATTATAAATAAAGCACTGGACAGTTCTGACACCCAATTTTATCCAACTTCCATTTTCTTTTTTTAAAAAAATCATTGTACATTTTGTTTTACGTTCGTAACAACATATATTATATACATATATATATATATGTATTCCAGCTGCCCCTTTGACATTCGTTTATGCGAAGACGTCAGGAAAGATATTAAACGTTTGTGCATTGCAGCGTGAAACGCGAGTCTGCAAACAAATGTACATTATATTATCAGCTCAGGAGGAAATGAGAGGCACTCAGTGTTTTCACAGGAATTCACACCAGTGTATCTGATGCCCGCAAATATTTAGAGCAAATCTTCTCACCGCAGTTGCTTCTTGTCCAAACTCCCCTCCCTCTGTCTCTCTGCACAAGTCTAACCATTCGCCTTTCTCTCTTTTCTATTTTTCTCTCACGTGCAACTCAGCTCAGTTCCCACTATAATAATAATAATAATAAACCTTGCATTTGATACAGCACGTCATCACGCCTTCGAGACGTCTCAATGCGCTGCATAGAATATACTGCAAAGTCTGCCTATTTTGTGACCAAATTATTATTTTTTTTGGAGGGATAATTATCCCCAGAAAACCATCCGCCAATTGACCACTGTGTGGAATAAGGAAACTTGATAAGGCGGCAAAACCTTAGGCAAGTTTCCTTACGCCACAAGCCCGAGAATCAAACCCAAATCCTCTCGTTTGCGAGGCGAGTGCACTAACCATTATACTACAGGACTCCACATCCATTTGTCAGCAACAAGGACACCTTTTGGCACTTCTTTCGTGATATAAAATGAAGGTGAAGTTTTCACTTTTACTGCATTTCAGAAAGGCCCACCATTATTATTAACAACAACAATAATCCTGGCACGAATAATATGAATAATGATGGGCTGCCTTTCCACTCACAACTAGCAAGAGTCAAGCTTCTTGTTAGATATATATATTATATACATATATTTAGTCTATATAAATATTTCCAATTACTTAGGGTTAACAGATTAACAACACATAATGCTTTAAAAAAATACTTTATTCACACTGTAGATATCCACTCTTCTTCCAAATGGTTATTATATTGTATTACATTGTATTATATATATAATATATATCATTATATTGCCCTTGAATTTTATAGCTAAAAAGAACTGAGCTACAGATTTTCTATAATTAAAAAGGAATAGCAATTTGGAAAATCCCTAAAAAAACCCCCACTCAGTCCATGACTGTTCGGGCTGGTTATGGGACGCTGCTGTGCTCAATCGGCTGCTGAGTTTCTCCCTCAAAATACATAATCCGTCCACTTTACAGTAAATCCTGGGGAGCGCTTTGAGATGTTCTCCTGACATGAAAGGTGCTATATCAAATGCAAGGATTATTATATTACATTTCTATATCAGTTGAAGGAACGAGGCAGACAATGTGTAAAATAATACTGGACAAAACAGCTTCCGGCTTGCACACGAGGCATGAAGGTCTTTGACTTCCTGCAATGTTTTTTTTAACGTCTGCGTTTTAAATTCCAGTGGATTGTGGTGAGGTCAGCAGAAATGCATGCACCCTGAAAGTAATGGAGCAAGCGTGTAGAACTGGCCAATAAATTAAAGATCAATTCATTACTGTCACTGTAGCCATTCGAGCAATCGATTACAGCAAAATTAAATCCAATCCCTGGTTCAGCCCAGTAACCGCGCATGACAATCAGTAATTAATGTGGAACATTAAGTGGCAGTTTCCCTTTTATCCCTCGTGAGTTGTGTGGCAAACACTTGTGGGTGTGATTTTCCTAAACAAGATTCGAGCAGCTGGAAGTATTAAGCATCTCGCATGAAGGACACCAGTGTGAAAATATGCAACAAACACAACAATATGAATCGTTAATTACTGGTATAATAAATGATAATGCGCTCACTCCATCTGATGTTTTAAAGGGTCTGGCTTTGTGTTTATTGCCTGACATATCACCTACCCAAGCAGTTGCTGATCATCACAAGAAACATTCGACGATCCCATCGTGTTTGCATCTCGTCTGACAAAATGATAGGTAATGTCAGTGAAATAATGTGAAGTTTAAATGGCATTTTATTTTGTTAACAATGTTACTGAGATATCGTTTTACGCACAGACACAGACAGAAGGGTTAGGGTTAGGGAATGGAAACTTACAGGCAGAGCAAATGAAGGGCAAAGGTGGAATATCCATGTCAAATGAAATGAAGAAATATAAATTTAATTAAAAAGAGGGAAGTAATAATAATAATCCTTGCATTTGATATAGCGCCTTATCACATTGTTGAGGCTTCTCAAAGCGCTTCACAGAATATACAAGTGAAAAGCAAATTGACTGTATTTTGCGGGTGAAATGAGGCAGTCAATTGTACACAGCAGTTTATATGAAACGTTTTTAAAAAAAACATTTATTTTTAGACCAATATGAATATGCGTTGAGAGATAAGCAACTGATGTGAACAGGTGTGATTTATCTTATCACTTCGTACACTTTGCTGTCGGTCTTGCAATATAGTAGATTGGGAGAGAAATCGATTGTTCACTGATCTTGTGAATTCCTCAGCAAATATCATTACGTATTGACTAACATTGAGACATTGCAGACAGAGGTAAAGCAAAACAGAAATCACGAGTTTGTCATACTTAACAGACAAATCTGAGATGAACTCGAATTCGACATTAAGAATAACTTTCTACTAATGTCCTCTCCCCTCCCTCACCCTGGCACATTTGCTTTATTTCTGGGATGAATTTAGTTCCAGAAAAAGTATTTTATGGCATCTGGGTGACACGTTCCAGTGTCTTTCGGAGAGTGATAAACTGGAGCACAGTTTAACAGATCTCCCACACCAACAATGCGATTTGGAAATGATTATGTTAACAGCAGATACCTCTGCCCTTCTATGGGAGCAATAATCTTTCACAGAGATCAAAGAGACTGTACTGTATGCCTTGTAAATTGCACTGATAGCATCTGACGTTCAATTTCACCCCCTCAGATACATACCTTATCACATAATTGTCAAGACAAAGCTGCCATTTATGAAGAGCTCACACCTTTATGGCGCTAATCCTGGACTCTGTACCCAAAGCCCAATTGTGGTATTCCATCCGCAATAAAA